TTTAGATGTTTAAAAAGTTTCTTCCAGGAATCTCAAAGACAAAAAGTGCTTCTAAGTCTTACTTTTCATCAATTCGTCTTCCAGCAAGCCTGCTTGCAGAAATTTTTGGCATGTTTGTAATGCATTTGATCGTTTCTGGTTTGCTTCTTGTCAATGTGAGTAATCAAATCTCTCTGCCACAAAATCATTTTTCCATCATGAAAAAAGCAAAGTAATGTGTGATAGTGCTGAGAGATAATGTGATAACGTCAGAAACTAATGCAGAATAATAGCGTGTGCAATGCTATCTCAGCAACTTTTTATTCAGCAGAATAATTTTTTTGCTCGCACAAATTTTTATTTAATTAAAAAAGTGTTAAAGTTAGTAAATGTGTAAAAATAAAAACTTGCAAGACTGAGTCTGCAAGTTCAATGTAAATGAATGAAACATTTATAACATCCATTCCACTGCTAGGAATTAATCAGTCAACTAATTTCGAAAATGACATTTACTATACATAGTAGCTGATTTCTAATCTATTATCAATCAGTCAATAGATCAGATCAATCGCTTACTAATATTCATTTCTCGAATCTTCGAGATGCATGTTGTCTTTTATTGCTGAAATGTAAAGTGTGTAGATAAATCTACTCGAAAAAGACGAAAATATATTTGAAGAGAATAGCTTTTTCGTTGAATTTCTGCTAAATTAAAATTACAATCATTTTTTTGCCACATTTTCTCCGTCCGACTGGCTTCAGAAGAAAGAACGAGAAAATTGAAGTACTAAGCATGCAGCTAAGCTTCCATCTTTAATTCTGTCATTAATTATCAGTTAACTTATTATTAAGGTCATAGAATGCTCGGAAATGCTAGCAACATTTGAATAATAATACTTTGCTTTACTTTTATTGACAAAAGAAAGCTTCAAATCTTTCACGCAAATTAATAACATTCATGAGCACATGAATTTTATCAAATGATTTTATCATGAAAGTGCCTACCATGCATTTTTTTTAAATTTATTATTATTATTATTATTTTTATTATTATTAACTAATTATATTCATAGACGTAGTCAAACGATTATTTTAAATTATTTTTTATTTCAAAGTAATTTCCTCAAAAATGAAATTAATAATTGAATTTGAGAGTAATCATTTCTAATCTATTAATAATACAGTGATATTATTGATTAACAGGTCGGAAAGGTGGGAACAAGCTCTGAACCATTATCAGGAGTTGATCAGCAATCGTGATCAATGTTGTACCTCACCGCCAAACTCTCCCATTCGTGGATCGAATCACTGTGAATTTCCTAGCTCTTAATATTTTGTTTGCATTCCCCATGAAATGATAAACATTTGTTACAATAATCATTATATTTCGAATAATAAACCCAATATAAAATGCAAAATTTATTACTTTTATTTAGTAATCAATTATTATTCATAGAATTTCAACTTTTAATAATTTTAAATGGAAGTAATAATTACTTTTATTTAAAATTGCTAAAAGCTAACTGAAAAAGTCGAAAAATAAGTAAAAATCTGCTAATTAATTGAAAGCTATTTTGAAAGATTAGCTTTACAGATTAATATTTTAGTTTGCTGAATTGAATTTGTTTAATTTAATAATAAAACAACGATGACAAATTCTGAAACTTCACTTTATCTTTCTTTTCTCATTTTTTTCTCTTTTTCAAAAAATGCTTACAATAATCCTAATGCTAGCTAATTTATAAAATAAGAATAACATTTTTGTAAGCATTACTGTCTTTATGCAAAATGCTTATAAAAGTTATGACAGTGCTATTTTGTAAATTACCATTTCCGTTGACACTTAAAATAATTATCATAAGTACACGTTTTGAAGTTATGTCATCCTCCGCTTCTGATATACCTTTACGAGATGGTGACAATTCCTGCGTCGTAAATTCAATGAATGGAAGTTTGATGGGGTTAGTAATTTTTGCTTTTTTTAATAAATGTTTTCATATTTTTTATTTTATTTCAGCAAAATAGCAACATTCAATTGATAACATAATAGTTTAATATTACTACTAATACTAGGACAGTACTGATCTTAATATGTTTTTATCAAGGAATACATTGCTTATCACTTTCTCAAATCACGCACTTTTGTTTTTTCTGTTTTCATTACTCATGTTATGAATGCTATTTGTTAATTCATATAATTTTGAGTTTTTGTTAATTTTTATTGAACGAAAAATTAATTTTTTAATTAATGAAAAACGATAGAAATGATTATTTTTCACGTGAGATGTTTAGAAATTTTTTTAAACTGAATGTCATCTTTGGAAAAGGCAAATGGCATTTTACAATGCTGACTTTTTTCGCTTGATCGAAGTAAAAATATCAGTGTCATTCAACTTGCCAGCATGAAGAATAGTTTGTAAAGTTTATTAATACTAAAAATTTCATTTAGCTATTAGTTTTTTTTCCATATTTGACTTTTAGAAGTTTGAATTTCGAAAATCGGGCGCGCAAAGTTGAAAGTTTCTTGCTTGCTTTTATCTCAATTCGGCGTGCAATTTAAGATCAGTTTTTTAATCTTAAAATGTACGCCAACAATCTAAGCAGTAGCTGAACAACTTACTTGCGTATATTACAATTTTTATAATAAGTAATGCAATTACTTTTTTGTTAAAAATTTTGTCAAAAATTAGAAGTCTGTGTAAGATATTTAGTCTGTACATTCGCAGTTTAGCCTGTATTATTGACTTTTCTTCATACGCCAGAAGGATGTATGGGAATGTTACGCTAATTAAGGAATGGAAATAAGTCTTAATTACAATTGAGTAAACTTTAGTTATATTTAAATGGAGAAAGTTTCGTCAAGTTTTGCTGCAACAACTCTGTTTTTGAATGTTTTCAGATCATTTCCATCGTTGACAAAAGTATCTACGAAAAATCGAAGTTTGCAAGGAACAAACCCGCAGTCACGTGGAGATTCGTCGTTAGAGCTGGAAGCAATTGCTGCTGTACATGAGCTTTCATTTGCAGTACAAACAATTTCAGTGTCTGAAATTCTTCCACGTACCCCTGATTTAATCTTTGTAAACGTTACTACAGTTGAAGGTTTGCTTGCATTTCCGAACTTTCCGTTTCGTAAATTTTGACGCCTGCATCACATATTGAGGCAGAAATACAAGTACTTCGATTCCAATTTCAATAATATGTATATATTTGTGTGTATTTTCATTTTTTCTTGTTTTTTACTGTGAGAACATTTTAAGAAATCAAAAAATATTTCATGCATAAATCTCTTTTCGTTGTTGCTGAAACTCTTACAGACCTTCTAATACTTTCAGGTCAACCGTACTGCTTGGAGTTGACGTTAAAAGGTTGGCGTATTACATCTTTACGTCATGACTGTATGCAGGGTGATTACACACGTATGGATCTTTTCACCGTTTACTATGACACATTATATGATCTGATGGATAAACTTTCCACAGGTTACAGAGATTACTTTAATGAAAAATTATCTCAGAAGTTACGTCTTCTACAGGTAAGCGTCAAGTTTTGACTTTTTAGCTTTAATTTTTTATGCAGCCAAATTTTGTTGGCATTTTGTTCCACTTCAAGGGCGAATGCCAGCGATTCATTCTTTCTTTTACAGAATAGCTCCCAGAACGTAATAAACGACAATCATTTCTCCATTATTTCTCTGAAATTTTTGCAGTTTCTTTTAGCTCTGCTCAAGATAAAAATTTCGTAACTCATTAGTTAATTACGAAATTGAAACATTTCGTAACTACTATTGATTGATTAGTTAGAAAAATTCCATCTTTGAACGTTTGCTTTAGACAACTTTCAAACCCACACTTCCGCTAATTTGCTTTCTCATATATTTATTTATGTCAAGTTTGTAGCTGGATGAAAATAGTGATCTCGAAGTACCCGCATCAAATGATGTGGCTGAGGATTCTACGAGTACTGTGACAACTGATTCCTCCTTGCCTTAACATTAAAACATTGAATGGCTGCAGTGAAATCGCAAGAAAAGAGCACTGCTATAGCTGCGAATGTTGACAGAAGCAATGATGGTGTATGATAATTTGACAATGTTGGATTAGTACTTGTGGTATTTATTTTAGTGCTAAGACATGAATCAATCTGCTTGATTTTTGCTCTTTTGACACTGTTGCTGTACAAGTTTAAGATACATACTTGCGTACTGGCTTGCAGAGAAACATATGGAATGATCTTCTTAATGTGTCCGACTTTTATGTTTTAACTTTTGCCAGTTTAATAACTAGTGCGATTTCGGGCCACTTTGTTAGCTTTTTTATTCTTCAGTATTGTTCATTCTTTGGATAGAAGTCTGTCTATTACTTTAACTTTATGGTATACTTAATTCCTGATTGTTAACATTAGTATGGTAGTGGATGTATGATGATAACATCGTTCACAGTTTGATTCACTTACTGATTTGCAAAAGTTTGCTTTAAAAACAAACGAATGAAATATATCAATGTCGAAATGATTACAACTTATGATAGTTATCGTTATCACTATAATGATTGTGAATAATTGTTGACGATAACGATTAACATAATAGATCAACAAAAGTAAATCTGTCATTTTTGTTTAATCTCTTCTAGTAACTATCAAATTTCTTCAGCTGACCATCGATAATGTCAATATCAAAATATTAAATGACGTCGTTGGAGTTGTCTTTACCTTTCTATGCTAATTTCTAATTACATGTAAGCTTATTCTGTTTGCTACTTTTAAGGCGTGAGATCAAGTTTGAATTTGTATGGTTGTTCATGTATGGTCAAGTAATGAAAGAAATAAAATTATCAGTTGTGTTAATGGAAATAATTAATCACGCAATAAACAGAGATTGAGCATGCTTCATTGAGTATGATAAGGGCTAACTTATATTAAGTTAGTTAGACTTGTTTTACAAAACATAACTGATAATTTTTCACAGTTAGAGAATTATAACATGTATCCACGTATTTTGTTGACATGGAAGGTGTGAGGAATTTAATCACATAGTTGACCCCTAGACTTGTTGAACAGAACTGGTCAGCAAATCAGAGGACGGTGTAGTTTTTTAGGTCAACCTGCAGTGAGGTCAGAAATGGTTTTTTATCTATGAATTTCTCACATACTTTGTGCTCATTTTGTTAAAGGGGCAATTGACATCATCGCGTGACTTTTACTCTTTTAATTTGATATATATATAAAATATATGTAGCCTGTAAGCGTTTATCAGGAAAAGTTAATAACACGTATGAGGACTTAATTAATGAACGGATATGAAATAAACGTAGAAAATGTAAACTTGGATTAGTTGGTTGCTATTTAGAAATTTGAATGGGGAAAGAATATTTATCACTGACTTTTTGCATTCACAGACGGCCCCTCAATTTTTACATTATGAAGAAAAGAATAAGAGAAGCATAAAGACACTGTATCAAAGAAGGAGAGGAGGGAGAGCGAGAGTTACGTCATGAACATGGAGAGTAAGAAGGATCAAAGACTGACTGCATCATCCCTCCCTATGGTATTTAAAAAGGAGCTTCAATCTACTTGTGTACTTCTTTCACTCTAACCAAACTTTCCCTACTCACTCTGTTCCGCTTGCAGCCATTTATCTGACCTTTAACCTTTGAGAAGACATATATTGGAAACTTGACAAAAATGTTGCACGAAAGTTTACATTTCGCCATTGACTTCATCTAATTATCTATCAATTAAGTAGACAAGGGCTTGTCCATGTTCTGAAGTCACACATACGTACGCAGCTCTCTCATCTAAGGCTTTCAAATTCAGCTTTTTTATATTTTCTTCCACAATTAAATGCATGAAATGTTCCATTAACCATGGAACTGCTATATATATATATATATA